AATTTCTCGTGTTTTCATAAGATTAGTTGGCAGGGAGCAGGGTAATAAATATAAAAAATATTTTTGCCATGACTAAAAAAAAGAAAACACAATAATTTTCATCATTTGTGAATAGTTTCTAAAAGTTTCATTAACATCTGACAATTATTTCTATTTTTGCAAGTTTTTCCAAATTAATGTCATACAAAAAAAAAGTGCTAAAAGAGAAACGTTTTTTTTTTTTTTTTTTTTTTTTAATCAAAAGTTAGAATGTTCTAAGAAGGAAAAAAAATTAAAACAATTAAAAAATACTTTGTTTTTTTTTCCTATTAATAATAATAAACATTTAGATAAAATTTTGTATTTACAAGTTTGGCGTCTTTTTCATCATGCTATGCTTTTTTTTTTTTCTTCTTTTTAGCCGAGCTACCGTATATATTTTTCACTGTTTACAGCGTTCGAATATGCAAGGGAGGTAACTTTATAATTTTTATTTTAATATTTAAAAAATGAAAAAGATTTTTAGTTTGGGATTTTTCTTAATCAGTTTTCTACAGCCACCAAGAAATTAATTTGTGGACATAAAAGGATTAAAACTAATATAGACAAACCTGCTTGAAAAAAAAATATATATATATATATATATATATATAAAAAAATATATATATATATATATATATAAATAATCCTTGTCATGTCTTACATGAACAAAAGATTTTTCCACCCAAGTACTTTTCTATTTAAAATTAAACCATTACTAAGAGTTTTATTTAGACATCATTTGCATTCATAGTAGCTGATTAGTAAGCTATCAAATTTTGATTGGGTGACAAGAATATAATCCCCTGCACTAACTTTGAACCACATTTATAATTCTTAGTATATTTGTATAAATTGAAGTGTCAGTTTTGATAATATAACAATTATTTTATATAGAATTTAAATTACTTATTCTACATTTTCTTTGATCTTGAAGCTGATTTTTTTTTGTATGGCAATTCTGTATGAAACTTACATATGACCACAAATTATAGTGTATATAGTTAATAGTAATTGACTCAAAATACTAATAATTTATGATTACTTCAACAATGTCAAATTGCAACATTTATCTTACATTGACTTAAAAATAATAAATGAGGACACAAAGTTGTGTAGTCATTACATTCTTATCTCTACAGTGAAAACCATTTTAACATTAAAATAACTCAATCTTCAATTATGTTTGCATATTATTTATGATCGGTGTTTTATTCCCTTATCAAAAACAGTTTCTATAAATGTGGGTTAATAAATTTAAATAGCAAGTCACCTTTTCAAACACTTAACATTATTTCATATCTCCAGTGTATCATTGCTTACATGGTCCAAGTGATCAGCCTACATAAATGAACTGTCATTGTAAAATTTTGGTTGGGCATGATTAAAGATGTAAATTATGTAAGTACAATCTTAAATATTGATTTAATGTCGAAGAAGAAAAAAAAATTAGACCTCAGATTTTTATATATATATATATATATATATATATTACTCGTATAAATTTAGTAATGAATTCAGAATCCATTTAATTTCCATAATTTTGCTAAGAATAAAAGTAATTTACACCCAATTTTTGCTTTTTAAATATTTAATTCAGGTATATTTATTTTTTTATAGACTTTTTATTGAACACATTAGGAATGGCTAGTCTTGGGATCTTTTAAAAATTGTATTAATTTTTTTTTTTTTTTAAATCAAAATACACTAAATGGAATGTTTGTCCAATTTTCTTTGATTCTCACTATCATGCCCTGCCTTGCAGCTATTATAAGCACAGTTATAGCTCAACACCTTTTTGACTTTATAATAAAATCTTCTCAAAGTGTGTGTGGAGTTTGTTGTTTTGTTTTTAACCCTATTTGCCTTTTCAGTTGTTAAATCCCAGGAACAAATCACTGAAAAATCTGAATATATGATGTTAATGTGATTAAATTGGAGCATCTCAAAAACCATTGAAAAATCGAGTCTTACAAGTTGATTTTATATTAAAGTAAATTGATTTCTCTTTCAAATAGATTTAGTCTTCTTGGTATTCCTGATTATGTGAAAAGTTTTTAACAATATTGAAATACAGTGCTACCTGATTTTGGGTGCATTCAAGTGCTTCCAAACTGTAAACATGTGACACAGCTGTTTGAGGGTTCCTATAGTCCCTCTAAACAAAGTCATTTCAGGTCTGCTAATACTAAAAAATTTTCTATCCCAAGTAAAAATCATCACAGAAATGGCAATGGTCATTTTGTCACTGCTTATTTTCTCTGGGGGGGAAAAAATGGCTTTTCATACTTTTATAGGGGTAAATATTGAAAAATGACTTTTGTCATTATCTGAACAAAATATCAAGGAAATTTTGATTTGAACCCCATCAAACTAGGTATTTCCTGAAAGCAAACAATATGTTCTTTTTATTTAAAAGTAAAATTGGCTGGTGTAAATGACTCAAGTTTTTTCAGGGGGTAAAATGTGAAAATTTTGTATTCACAAATAATGGGAAATTAACCGTTTTTTGTTTTTTTTAAATCAAACTATTTCAGGCATAAAATTGAGAGCTTCAAGGAAGACAACATTCCTAGGGAGTCAAAATGCAACAAAGTCCATTGGTAATTTTCAATTATATCAAGCTGCCAGGAGTTAAAAAAAAAAAAAAAAAATTGACACCTGGCCATGGAAATCTTTAGTAAAAGGTGAAAGATTTATCCTCAATTCCTGACCACCAGAAACCAGGAGTTTATAGCAGTGATAAGGAAAATTAAATCAAATTGACTTTGACATATCTGGGTCAAAGACCAACCAGTCAGTGATAAACATTGAACAAGCTGTCATCAGCTTGTAAATCCCACCACTTACAAGTTAAGTGCCAAGAGTGAGGAAAAAAAAAAAAAAAAAAAAATATTGGAAAAAGGGCTTGATATAGGTTTTTTTTTGTTTTGTTTTTGTTTTTTTCAAATCAATGTTTAAACAATGGCTTGATGTGTTTAACACCTTGTGACCTGGGTGATGACAACACTCAGCAGACAATGTTTGTTTGTTTTTTGCTGCATGTCTCGTATTTCCCATTGTCAGGTCATATCGCAGTTCCTTTTATTCAATGATGTTCATACCAACTTAAAGAGAAAGGATTGAAGTTTGAAAAAAATTGTTTTTAGATGAAAAAAGTTTTTTTTTTTTTTTTTTTTAAATGAAAAAAGGTTTCTCAGAAAATTGACCATAATTTTTTAATGCTAGCCCCTGAGTGACATTTGTCACAGCGAAATCAAAGATTAATTACTAGTGAATAATTCCATGTGCAAAAAAAATAGCCGTCTGGATCCTATAACATCACCTGAGAAGGTCCAGAAGTTTACTGATTGATCAAAAACTTGTTGCACATAATTGAGTTTTTCACAGTCAGTTTCCATTATTTCATCTTGATGTTATCATTTTCAGACAGCCAAGTCATTAAGGATTCAGGAAAACAGTTTGGCACAGGTTTGCTTTGAGAACTTTGCATTCTATGAGGAGTTTAAAATGTTACTGATGAATGAGATTTTTTGAATATTTCATTCAAGTGCCATATTGGATTTTCCTAACAAGCATTTTAAACAGCTATGGTGAAATTCGTGGGCACATTTGACTATTGGCCTTAAAGTGTTAATACAATTTAAACTATAAAAAAAAAGCTAATTCCTCTTTGACTATAAGGGCAATTTGTAAATGTCAAGAAAGTGGTAATATTACAAAATGTAAAATACAAGGTAAGTTATTCCATCATAATTCATATAAAAGTTGGAAATTCAGATTTATTTTTCCTTTTTCTCAGTATTTAATATTTATTAAATACATAAATTCATTATTTTTACAGAGATATTGTTTTACAGTAATTAAAATATATTCTGAGAAGTATTAAAATCCAGAATTTATCTAAGCAATGAAACGTTATCTTTGCAGTTGTCAGCTATAACAGAATACCAAATAAGGATTTAAACATTTCTCACAGCATTTTTTGATGATTGTTCTCCACACTTTGAAAGATAGAAGAAACTAAAACCTTCAAGAAAAGGAAATCGATTTTATTTCACAACAGGAATAAAAGTAGAAAAAAAAAAATCAGCAGAAATGATAAAATTCTAATTTCAAACCAATCAAAAATAGGCAATTATTCAGGGATTGTTTTTTCCCCACAAATGGTGTGAAACTAGTTTCCAGAATTTAGTACTGGAAGAATCTGTAGGTTTGCATCAAAAATGAGTCACTTATACATTTGTTTCATGTTATTAATATCAGTTTTGGTGGATGAAAGTTATAAATGGATTTTAATTTCAAAATTGACATAAAAACTCATTTTTCAGACTATAAATTGCAAGTTTTTAGACTAAAAAATAATCAAATGATATGTAAAAATTTGGAAAAGGGTTTAATAAAATGATGTATTTGATGAAAATATGAAACTTTTACTTAAATAATTGGTCAGCATAATAAAATTGTTTTTCTTTTAATAAAAACGTTGATACTTAAAATCCAAGAAATATTTGCAGTTCAATTTTATAATGGAAATCATTTAAAAGTTATATTTCCACAATTTTGATAAAATATTGGGACATCAATTTTATAAAATCTGAATATTTTTCAATTCAAATATTTAAAAGAAAATTTGTAAATTTAACATGGGCTTTGGCATAAAGTTTTTTGCTTTTTTTTTTGCCGTAAATAATCAACATCATGAAGTCACTTAATACATGTTCATATTTTTTATGCTTTTATAAGTAATTAAAACAAACTAATTTAAATGAGAATTGCTTAAATGTTGGTTAACAACCAAATAAATCCATAGAAAAATCTATCAAATATGAACTGCATTTTCTTTTTTTTCTCTAAATACCAGATCCCTTTTAGCTTAAGATTGAGTTTTTATTTATCATGCTAATGTTTCTATACCCAAAGCCTTCAATAAGGCCTCCAAATAATTGCCAATTTAAACTGTTTCTTAAATCTTGTATAGTTTACATAGATTTATCCAAAGGTTGAATTGTGTAAATGTTATTCTTTACAGTTTTCGAGTAATTCCAAATACGTGAAGGCCTGATGCACATCTTATTGGCTTGTTGCTTTTTGTAGGATTCGGCAAAAAATTTATTAGCATCAGAGACATGAGGATTGTTAATGTACTCGTCTAGCTGCAAAAAGAAAAAAAAATAGGATTTTTATAGAAAAATAGGATTTTTATAACAAAAAGTTTAATTCAATAGCATTGGTGCAAATCTCAAAGATTAATCAGAAAATAATCTTTTGTCATTTGGATGTCATATTCAAATCTAAACCCAATAATAACACTTGTAATACTTTCATTATTGTATGTACATATTTATATCAGTATGTTTTCCAATTTATTATAAGGCCGACCTTCCCCAATTTTATCAGATGGAGCGGGGAAGTCTAATGACTCACCATCGCTGACAAATTTGGTGAAGGACAATGTCTGACAGACATTCTAAAGTTAACAACCTAGTCTGCATAAATAAACAATAGTCACAGAAAATATACTTACGTCCATCCATTGGCACTTAGAAATTTCACGGGGGCATGATCTTATTTCTTCACTCAGTGGATGTAATACACAAATGAAATAAAGATCCGAACAAGCATATCGGTAGTTATGTTGATGACGAAATGCCAGCAATGAATCAAATTCACACTTGACGCCTGTTTCTTCATAAGTTTCCCTGATAGCAGTTTCATAGATATTTTCCCCTAACAAACAAAGAAAAACAAACTATATTAACTCTTATTTTTATTTATACTATTGTTCACCTAATACAAGAGCCACTTGAGGTAGAGGGTTACTGAAAGAGATTGTTGTAAGAGCAAAAATGGAGGAATTAAGAAATGAATGTTATGAGGACATATAGGATAGATAACAGTTGATCCTAGGCGTGAAGAGGCTAAGATCATAGTGATCAAAGGAAGTATCATCTCAGAAGCTTGTTCCACAAAGTATCAGTTCTGAGGAAGAAGCTGTCCAAGTGGAACTTCCTCCTTACTAATGGAATACAAAAAGAAAGCTAAATTGACCTTGTGTATGTTGCCTGACAAATCTCAACAGTTGAAACTTCCCATAAATAATCCCTAATATGGCTGCTTCAGTCTTTTAAGGATTTTAAAAAAGAAACTGAATAATTGTCAAACTGAATAGCAGCTTTCTCGTTTTATTTTTTTGTTTCCTTGTATCAGATTTTATTTTAAAGTATAGAAAATATTTATTATTAATATCAAGTTACTTGTAAAAAAAAAAAATAAACCGTTTTTATACATGGCATTCTTTACTAAAGGCTCAGTTACAATTCTCTCCCAGAACTGAAGGCCTCTCTCAAATCTCATTCTTTTTTTTTTGTTTTTTTTTTGTTTGAGCAAAGAAAATCTTTAGTTTCAGCTTGGATTTGTGGCAGTTTGCTGTTGTAGTTGGCTTAAGAAGTTCAAAGGAAAAAGTATAAAAGCATAATTAATTTAGTTTGGAAAGTTAATCCACTTTATCTTGATATATTTATTCTTTACTAAAAGGTCTTATTTCAATTAATTAAACTTTAATGCCTCAAAAACAATGCTTCCCTGCTTCCCATTAGAATGTCTGATGATCAATTCCACAATAGCGCCTCTCTGTGCCTGCTTGGTCTCACACTGTCCACTCACCTGAGATGGAATAATTACATTGAATCAATAGCTTCATCTACCGCAAGGAAAGATGGTTCTCTGTGTCACACCAGAAAGTTTTTCTCGCCTGAGTCCATCCTTCAAATCTATAAATCAACCATTCACCCTTGCATGGAATACTGCTGCCATATATGGTCTGGTGCCCCCCACTGTTTGTCTCAAGGTCCTTGACAAAATCCAGATATGATTGGTCCTGATCTGGCATCTCGTCTACAGTCACTTTCTCACATCACTTCCCTCTGTCTTTTCTACAAATACTTTCACAGTAACTGCTCCAATGAGCTACTTTCACTAGTTCCCAAACTGCATGAATTTAAGCATGTTACTATGTTGGCATCTCAGTCCCACCCTTTCACTGTCAAAACAGTTAAATGTAGCCGTCTCTTCTACTTCAATAGCTTCATGTCTCACACTCCCCATCTGTGGAACTCCCTTTTTCTTACTTGCTTCCCTAATAGCTATAATCTTCAATTATTCAAATGCAATGTCAGTCGACATCTTCAGATGCCTAAATCTAATTCCACATCCTTCTCTTCATCCTTTCCTCTTTCACACTTCTTTACTCTTATTCCCACTCTCTGTAACCCCTTGCATGCTAGTGGCACTCCCGCCTTGCTTGGTAGAATTTGGATCCATCACTTCCCACCCTGTTAACAAGGGTATACAAATTGATATATGCATTTTAAAATTTGAATTAATTATCCACATTTTAATGAAACAAAAACCATATTGGAACTATGAATTCTGGAACAAAAATATGACATAAAATAGACATGAAAGTAACTTTAGGATTTAGAAATAAAGTAATTATTTTTATGCTGATTTATTTTGTCAATAAATAGATATTTTGATTATAGGAGTAGAAAAATGTATGTTTAAGCAGCAGGGTTGAGGTTAACGTTTTGTACATTTCATTTCAAATATCTGATTAAACTTATTAAATTTAATTATGACATTAACTTTATATAGTAACATTATCAAATGATTTTTCATTCATTTTGCAGTATAAAATATTACATTTACTCCTATTTTATGTTTTTTTAAATGGTAAAAAAATTCAACATACTTTTTTAAAATACCTTTTAGAAAGAAAAATTACTCATAAAAAATTAAATTTTATCCTCAATATATTTGTTGTTATGAATAACAATATCATAAAGATAAATATTAAATTAACTTTAACAAATAATAGAATTTTTAAATAAATTATGTAGAGCAGAAACAGAATCAAGGAAAAAAGTCTTTAGAAAAAAAGTCTGTTAAAAATTAAACAAAACTTTATTAAAATTAACTTTTTTCATTTGTTAAAAACAGAAATCCAGATTATGTAAAAATAAAGTGGATTTACTTTTATGAAGAATATTAAATTAAGTGAAACATGTTAACTTCCAAGTAACAAGACCAAGTTTCTTATCTTTTTAATGAATTTTGCACAAAAAGTGTGTTTCTAAAATGAAAACATAAAATAGCAGTCCAAAGGCAACAGAATAAGTAAATGTTATACTTCAAATAACTTTATTTCAAGTGTAAAAATTTTCTTGAATTTCTTAAGCCAATGATGGCAACAAACCAAAAGTAAAACCCAAACTAAAAATCTTTATTCCCAGTGGAATAACTGGATTTTAGATAAGCCTTCAGTTCTTTACTAAAGAATATCACGGCAGTTTAGTTGCTTTTAGTCCAGAATTTTTTACACCAACAGAATTATATGATTTTTTGACAAGAATCAAAGAATTCTTACCTTTATCAGCATGACCTCCAGGTAATTTCCAATGTTCACTGCTCTTAAATTTTTCTTGAATCACAAGAAGCTGATTTTTATCATTGACCACAAATCCAGCTACACCTAAGGTGGGGAGAAAAAGGTGATAACACTTAGTTGTATATCAGGAATCAGGATTTGTTTAAAAAAGATTTTTAGACAAGAGAAGCAAGAAGATTTATAAATGTATCAGACAAGATTGCTAAGTTTAAAAATTGATACTCAACTGCCTTTCACCATTTGAAGAGACTTGAGTTCATTTTCAAACTCAACACATGGGTGACATTCTCTGACTGAACAGAACATGTTTCTGTGGAATTTCTTTGCTGTTACACCACAAAAAAGAACCATTATTGGACAGAATTGTCACAGGTGATGAAAAACAGACTGTTTTTGATAACTTTTGATGCAAATGGAGCAGGTGACAAGCTTACAAATTTGAAGAACCCACTTATAAAGCAAGCTTGCATCCAATGAAGGTGTTCGTTTGGTGGGATTGCAGGTGGGGAGGATAATTCACTTTGATCTTCTTCCAATCAGGAAAGCAATAACCGCAAAGAAGTATTGCAACCAGCTCACCAATCTCAATGCAACTATAACCTATTTTGGAAAATTGAAAAGTGTCATTTTCCACAATGACAACACAAGACTGCATATTGCAAAACTGACCTTGCAACAGCTTAAAGGATTGAAATGTGACCCCCCCTCCAGCACCCACAATATTTTCCTGACTTGGCTCCATTTCTTCCAGTCTCTACAGAACAATTTAAATGACAAAAAATTTATATGCAAATGTCTGTGATTTACATATGCTTGTGCCATTTAAATTTGAAATAATATATTGGAATAATATATTTCCCTCCCACTCAATCTAGACAATCCCTACCATGAGATGAGCAATAAAATCAGACAAAATATCTGATAATTATAAGATTTTAATAAACAAAATGTTGATTAAAATCTTATAATTATCTGATTTTTTTTGTCTCCAACTATTGCTCATCCCAGGGTAGGGATGGTCTAGACTGAGTGGGAGGGTATTATTCAATAATAAATAAAAATATTTTTTCAAGCTTTTTCTTAAAAACATGTAGAAATGTTTTAGGTATCACCATTGAATTAAAATAAACATGTGCAGACACAAATGTACTTACACAATTTGAATGAATTTAAAATGGACATCTGTGTTGTGAGGGTTAATTTTTCTTATTGTATGGCAACAACTCCTAGGTAAATGGGCAGAGAGTTTAAGCCCAAATGTGTGGCCCTTTGAAGTCATTCTATGATTCCTCCTGTATTTAAACTCAATATATTTTCTAATAAATGTAGGTTTGATTATCTTGCTGTCAGTGAAGTGATGGGTATCAAACTACTTGAGTATGAAAAGCAAGTGAAAATATAAAATGTCTGAATATTCATTGCATAAGCTTTTCTTACCAAATATAACCAGCCATTATGTTCCTGTAGACTGATATAAATATTAGCTATTCTAATAATATAGGTACTTCCAAACATTTTTTAAAAAAGAACATACCATGGTGAAAAAAAGGCCTCTAACTTAATAAAAATAAAGTTTTATCATCAAAATATTTATGTTATTATTAAGAGGAAAGACCAAAGTGTTCTTTTATTTTATTGAATCTTTTAGCACGTTCAAAATTTTGATAAAAAATCTTGTTTTTCTTAATCAACGGTTGGGCCAAAGATTAGTATGGGAAATCTTGCATCATTTTTGCAGTAACAAAACACATTGTTTTGGAAATTCTTGCAAAAATCAAATAATTGTCACATTTTAATGAAATATTCAGGATTTATTCAGAAATGAATGAAATTATTTTTAGAAAATCTTGGCAAAAATATTTTTTTTACATCTTACTTAATTTTATTAATTTTTGATAAATTAAAATTAAAAATAAAATTTCAAGGCCTTTGTATTTGTATTAGTTAAAAGCAGGACTGCTTGGAGAATTTAAATCCTCAATTTGTTTTTGGCAAACTGAAAATTTGCTCTGAATTGGGAAATAAAAAATGCAATAAAACAATGACATTTTTTAATTAGAAAAGCCTTTAATTGCTTTTATAAATAAGATATATTAAGGACACTATTGTCTTAAGAAAAAAATTTTTCAATGTTTGAATTTCTACAAGAATTTTTTTCATTTTTTTTTAATTATAAAAATTTATTAAGTTTTAAATCTTTTAAAATTCTGTATTAATTTCAGCCTTTTAGATGATATTATTATTAATTGATATCTATAATTACTAATCATAAATGGAAAAGCTTAATACAAATCATCAAACAACAATATTTTTAAAAGAATTTTGAGGTTTTTTTTTTATGTTTATGAACATGCCCATTTTTGTAAGTATGGGTGACCATACACAACGTTATCAGAAAATAAGAGCAATGAGTATAGTAAATTTAAAGTCAATATTTTTAAAATTTGATAAGATTATGGAGAATATTTCCGTAAATTTTTAAGAATACTGTGTAGTTAAAAATGATTTAAAAAAAAAAAGAAAAAAAAGGCGCTCACACCATTTTCTTAAATTATATTTTACAGATATAGTCTCCATAGAACAACATTAGATCTGTCATCAGGATGTCAACACATCAAAACAGCTACTGTCAAGTTAAAAACACAGCTAGCTGCCTAAAAAATATTTTAAACTTAAAGTAAATAATATTTGTTTCACATCGGATTAGTTATACTCTAAATCAGCTAATATTCCTCAAATAAAGTGTCAGAAAAGTATATTTTATATTTGGAAAATTTTTAATAAAGAGAATTACATTGCAATGAAAGATGACTAAAAAAAAAAAAAAAAAAACTCCTTTTGTTTAAATTTATTAAATTTAATCTATTAGATTGAAATTAAAACTAAAATAAAAGCTTTTCATTTTTTAAAATTAATTTTAAACCTTAGGTATCATTTTTTTCCTGTTTTTTTTTTTTTGTGAATTGCCTATAGTAATATAAACAAAAAAAATAGAAGAAATGGAATGCTTATATATTTACCAATGTAATGGTTGGCATATTCTGGTAAACTGTTAGGTTCCTTATCTAGTAGCCACTGACAAAGCATTACATAACCAGGTTGGGTATGATGAAAATCAAAGCCAACCTACAATAGAAAAAATAATTAAAAAAAAAAGAATTATTACTATAAAATAATCACAAAGATTTATTCCAGCTTTTCAAGCTAATCAACTTATGAAAAAGAAATAACTAATTTACTGGAAAGAATTAAAAGGGAAGGTTAAATGGATTTAAAGATGTTATGTATTTTCAAATGCATTCAAATATTAGAAACCATCTTTTCATTATTTAGATGCTGACTAATGTCCTCATCTTTGTTCTAATTATCATAAACTTTTCAGCCTTCCTGCTTTCTTTAAGTGTGTTATCAATCTAGATAACAATCAAGAAAGTTCAAATTAAAGCCCTTATTTTCTCTACAGGGTAAAGTGTTTTCATTCCAGTTATTGCTTCCACTGAATTTAAGTTTGTACTACCCAACCCAGGGATTGAACTCACAATTACTATGCAACCAAACCCAGTTGAAACAGAGTGAGTGATAACTGAGCAATACTAAGAAAAAATGGGATGAGAATAATCTACCCCCATGGGGTTCACTTCAAAATTCCTCTGAAGAAGGCAACAGTCAAAATGCAGTGGTAATAACAACAAAGATAAGGACATTAGTCATAATGTAAATAATAACTCCTCATTCCAGAAATTCAAACAGAAATCATTTTTTTTTAAATCTGTATAAAACTGGAGACATTTTTCAATGATGACTCTTTTGCTTTTCTCTAACTTTTCCTTCAAAATCTCCTGATATATTCTTAATATTAATGATATATACAGCACAAGGAATGACCAGATTTTTGAATATGTGACAAATAATCTATAGAATATTAACAAAATCTATTTATCTACATTTTCATAATTACCTTGATTTCTCTTTATGTGTGTACCAATGTAGAAATGTATAGCTGGTCACTCATAGTTGAGGAGACCCATCTACTAGGGCAGCTAGCCAATCCCTATTGCAGACGCTTGCTCAGGCACATTTGTATTTATTCAACACCTACAGAGTGCAACTGTGGTTTATACTGCAACTGTGCTGAGCAGACCTCAGTTACAGTTTCTGGAAAAGAGCATGTTCTCTAGCATGATCAACAATTTGAACAAGGCCAGCACACTCAAGCCCTCAGCCACAATGACTTGTGACTTTGTGCTAGCAAAAGCTATCAATGTCCCCATGAGTTCCATTTACCCATTTTCACTCACAAGGTACTTTCCAAAGGTGCCACACGCTTGGATCAACTCCTCTAGTCTGATAACATCAGGAAGTCTCTTTTCTGGCAAATCGACCATGGTGATATTTGAACCCAGGTCTCACAGTCAGAATGGGAATGTTCTAACCACTCAGCCACGATGACCATGTAGAAATAGACAAGTACAAATGTAGAAATAGTGAAAAAGGGATGAGGATAACTCAAAATCTGTAAAGAGGTTGGTCATGTTTGATGGTTTAAGAAATACTATAACAATTTATAACAAAAAATGACAATCTTACCTTTTCTGCTAATTATAGTGATTTGTTTTTTATGGTTTATCAACCCTTTGTGAGTTATCTAAAGCTGAAACAATTTGGATTGTAAGAATTTTTTTTTCAGAATAAATATTGCATTTACAATTTTTTTTTTGAGAATATCAGTGAAACAAGTTCTATTTAACCCATAGGAGGGGGAGATGGATTCCTACATTTCCCAAGGATATTTGCACATAAGTGAATGTAAGGAAGCCAACTGGAATCCAAACACAGCTCTCCAATTTCTCATTCTGAGTCACTATCCATTACACCACCTGCACACCCACCCTACAAGTGAAGAAATTTCCAACCAATGAAGTGTTTGGATGGAGCCTTTTTGCTTCTGAGCATTTGTGGTAACACAATGGCTACTATAAGGAATATTCTGAAAAAAAGCTTGAGATTGAGAAGAGAATTCCCTCTCAATATTATTTCCAACCAATAAAAAGGATAAAATTTGAAACCAGAGACAAAATTATGAAAAGTAGTTAGTTGAGCTGGTTGGAAAAGTTATAAGGAAACCCACTAATCAGTTTGAATCACTATTTGTCACAATTCTGTTTGTGAGTAATCAGGGAAAGACGTAAGGCAACAGAGCAAAGCAACTTTGACAGCAAATTGTGAAAAGATTTCACTAGGTTCTGAGATACCCGTGACTCACAAAGAACTTTGAGACAACTTACAAAACCTTAAAAACCATAATCTGTCTTCTATTATAATTCTAAAAGCAGTACCAACTTCTGAAAGGTTTCCTCAGCCTGCAATCTTTCTGTAACTGCTTTCATTTAAGAAATGAATGCTCTATCCTCATATGTTGACATATCAACCACCAAGCAGATCAAGAAAATATGATGAGCCTACATTCCCTCTTCAATGGACCACTTCACACTTTCTACCAAGGACTTTTATAACTTCTGCTGCTACTACTGTAAGTCCCCACTTAAGAATGTTTTTCTCTAACCAGATTCATTTCTTTAGGCAGTCAAAAAATATTTTCAGCACCCATCTTCCTTTTCACATAAAAAAGGATTGTAAATAAGTAATTTCTTTCTATTTCAATTTCACACTGATTAATGTCCTTTTTTATTGTGTGCTTAAAGAATTGTTACTATATATATATTTAATTTTTTTTGCATATGGGAAAATCTGCATAACATCTTAACATTTTAACCAGTTAAAAAAGAAGAAATGTCTATTATAAATTATAAAGTTTTATATAAAAATATAATTCTAAAAGAAAGAAAATATAACAGACATGCAAAGATGAGTTTAGTGATTTGCTTACTTTGATACAAATTGGGACAAGTGAAGCATATTTACTCCAAACTTTCACCCACACACCTCGGTAACCAGATGCTTTCCACTGAGCCAGTGATTCTAAAAGAAAAAAAATATATATATGTAAATTTCATAAAAATATACAAGATTCGTATCAATTACAACCAAAGAATATATCTGAAAAAAAAAAAAAAAAAAAAAAAATTCTATCTTTATACAAATATGGAGCTGGGTGGGGGGCTTTGCATCTCAACATGGCAAAGTTCCATTCCTATAATGCATCATAACACAATTTTCCATGTAAGTAGGAACATACCTGCAATTTTCTGTAAATAAGCACTTACGTCACTAACCTATGCTAGTGCAATAGTAAGGTAATAATCTATGACACAACACATTTCTATGATATATGTTAATATAATTAGGACTTAAAAACACATGGAGGACATTAATATAATACATATAATGAAATGAAAGTGTTTTAAGCTGCTTGTACATTTATTGTCTGTGATGTCATTGGTTCTCAATAAATCTTGTCTCTCTTGCTGTACTAGGAAACAGCAGCAAATATGGGGAAGAAAGACAAACTCACAGTTGTTTTTATTTTTATCAGGAATTCACCAAGTTAGAGTTTAACAAGAAAATGTCTTCATCTCTTACAAGGACACTCAATACATATATGTACATGTGTTAAGCAACAGTCAAATGTCTTAAAATTTCTTAGCTTAATGTTCATCGCTATTTCTTCCTTTTTAGAACATTTAACAATGTCTAATTTCATTTCCATGGTGACGGCTTTCCTTTTCTTCAAAGCACCACATTCAGAAGTGGTTACGATATCCTTGGGAGACATAATGAAAGGCAATAAGTTTCCACAAACACAACACAAATGAAAGCGAGCAAATGCACAACCATTTTAATAAGGCATACAACCTGGAACCGAACCATACCACCATATGTACAAGACAATTGGCATGTCAAAACAAGATTAATGGAGATTGCATCCTAACCACGAATTATTAGGACTGTCATAACCCAGGGACTTACTGTAGTGGGTAACATAGAAGAAAGTTTTCTGCTATTGTAATGATGAGCAGCATGTTGTGATCAGCTGCGAATGCTTATTACTAAAGAACTAATTTTATTCCATTGAGACTTATTTTAAGGTTAAAATTAAAAAAACTAATCAAGAAATTCAAAGGAATTTTGTTGTTACTTTATCTTCAACAATACTGAGGAACTCCAAGTAAATATTTAACTAAAACAGATTGACTCACCAATACAGATTTGAAACTTACTTGTTTCCCTATTTAAATTATAGAACAAAAAGTTATTCCTTATGTATTGTCTGCTTTATTATGTCATCATAATTGTTATATCCCAGGTTGTTGGGATGAACAAAAACAAATGAAAATAAAAGACAAGTGTATTTTAACACCTAACAAAATAACTTTTATTCATTTACTGCCGAAGAACAGCAAAGATTGTTTGGATTTAAACCCTGACTTCCACATGCATGTCAGCTTATCACCATGCTGGATTCAGAAGTATCAACTGGTGGAAAAGAAATAACTCAATTGCATTGTGAGTTAATGTCCTTTTACAGGGGGAGTAAGTTTGCACTCCCCCCCCCAACAGTAGTATTACCTCAATTTTATCCCAATGTAGCAAACAGTTACAATATTATACAAAAATAATAAGGTTAGAGCCCCTTTGCTTAATATGCCTAATGAAGGAAAACACTTTTGTAGTTTAATTATTATATTTGTTTTTAATGCCATGTTCTTTCAGGATGTAGGTGATCATGGCTCTCCACAGATTCCTTTTTTATTTAATAACTGACGACTTGGTGAGGACAGTAGTGTGTTTTCCTGTTGCCTTCTCCATGACTAAATGTCACCCAAAGTCCAGTCTACCATGCTAATTAATCCACAGGTGTGAGGAGAAGAGATGCATCTGCACTTTTTCCAAAGGCGTTAATGTGAAAGTAAACAACAGATTAGACCAGAGCTTGAAAACTCACTGATTCCCTTGTCTGTGCGAAGAACCATTACACTGCCCACACATATCCATCTTAATAGTGAAATATAAAAAAAAATGTTATATCCAACAATCACAATTTGAAATAATTTATTACATGAAACCCAAAGCAGATAGCATTTTCTCATTTAAATTTATATAATTTAAAAATATAATAACTTATCCTGTTCAACATGTAATTTATAATGATTCTAATATACAATGGGATTATAGTTAAAAAGAGTCATAATACTTAAGTAATGAACATTTTATTAGTACAAGACTGACCAAGAGGGGCATTAAAAAAAAACAAAATCAGTCACAATCTCTTCAGATGACGTCTGCCATGCTTTATCTTTACAAGAGTCTGATGAGACCAAAAATAGAGAATTACTGCCATGTCTGGGCTGGAGCTTCTCACTTTCCAGCCTTGATAAGAGTTTAATATTGTCTATGCAGTCTTGGGGAGGATTAGCTTTATTCTCTGCTCCACAGATGTCACATTGCAAGCCGACCACTATTTCTGTGGTAAATGTCAAAATGAACTACATTCTTTAGTTCCAACAATTCGGTCTTATACAGCCAGGACACACCCACCCATGCCACTTCCACAGAGTCAAATCCCCCTCATTGCCTCAGTATTCCAAATATAAGAAGAAAGTTCCACTCAAACAGTTTTTGCCCAAGAAGTGCAATTTTAATCGCTTCAAGTCAAGGGTCAATTATTACCTATCCTCCCTATCCACCTCCTCCTTCAGGATGACAATTGAGTCCCATAACCCATTTGTGTTGTTAGGGTACCACATGTACTGCAGCCACGGTAGCAGTGGTGCATGCTGGGCAAAACAGCCTGATGAAGCTCAATATTCTCCAGGCTGATTTTGAATTCAGAATTTTTCTTTCTCTTAGATCAGTTGCCACCCAGGGCTATAGGATCCAGTCTGTTCTGCTATTTATCCACAGCTTGGTGGAGAAGAGAAGAGATGGATTCATACCTTGTCGCAAGTAACCTTGGGACAAGGTATGAATCCATCTCTCTTCATGTAAATGAATATAATGAACTTGACTGGAATTCAAACTTGGCTTTCCAATTCCGCTGAGTCACTATCCATTACTCCACCATACCCTCATTCATTCATCATTACTATTTTAAGTAAAACCTTCTATTGAGTGGCTCTCAAGCCTTGTATTCAGTGAATCTTAATATTAAAAAAAAAAAAAAAAAAAAACATACAAATTCCTTTATAAATGTTTTCCACTGAAATTTCCTCACAAAAATCTTCATTTTTACTATAATTATACATTTATAGTCTTACCTAATAGTCTTTCTTCAAACTCTTTCTCATCTAAAGGGATAATTTTTTCAGAGTCTATAGTCAGTCCCTTAAATCTGAAAAAAAAAAAAAACAAAAATGATGTCACAAGATATAATGATTGCAATGTTCGAACAGGATTTTATTATTTAATGAATATGAAATCTTCTCATTTGTAGCAAATTGGTCACATTATCTTCAAATGAAACTGCTGAAGAAAATAGAAAAAATAAAAAAAAAAAAAAACATTAAAAACATATCTACATTTGCAAAATTATATAAAACTCAAAATAATGCAATTGAAGATATATAAAAGAATAGAAATAAATAATATAAAAATAGCTTTAAAAGAAAATAAAAATAATCTACAAATATAAAAATTTAATAATGAAACTAAGTATTATGGAAATTTTTTTTCTCAGGAGTATAAAATTTTCTTAGAGTAACATAAGCAGACTTATTAAAAGTCTATTCAGAACAAATAAATGAGGTAATAAAAAATATATATTACTATCAATATATATTACTATCTATTGGTAATACTGAAATATAACAAAACCAATTATATTTTGATATTAGCAATTTACAGTAATATATATTTTTTGTAATATGTCCATTTTTATTGCCCTAATTATTGAAATTAACATTTACTAAAAACTTAGAAAATTATTGAAAAAATAGAAATACATAACAGAAAAATAGTATTTATAACAGAAAAGGTAATGTAGTATGCAATTCAGACCAGGAAATAGTGGAGGTTTGAATCAAATTTAATGTCCATCAGAAACCTGTGATCTAAAACATAGGAATCCCACCCCACCCCAGGAGGTAAATTTCAGGATGAGGGAAGAAATATTTTACTTTTTCTTGTTTATTTACAGAATTTTGTTTATTGAATTACCTGGCATTCTATTGAACTTTTTGTTTATTGAAATATGCTTCAGTTTATTTATTTAATAATTACTTATGAGTTAAAACAAATTACTGTACATGTATTCAAGTTTTAAAATCCGTCAATTTTTTTCTCTTGCTATTAAATTTGTGGAACTCTTCTATAAAAAATAACCCATATAAATGTATATGTACTAATATGGAAAAGAATGAAGATTTTTAATAATATATGCATATTATCTAGAAGGCACCTTTTGAGTTGCACAATCTTAAAAGAGGAGGAATGATATTCTGACTAATGGTGAAAAGGGGTGAATTGGACCAAAAAATAAAGGGTTGAGAATCACTGACCACTGATCTAAGATGAGTTGACTTCACTATGTACTGAGTAAGTAAGTTTTGCACACTGTGTTACCTCAGAAAGTTAAAACACTTTAGAAACCCTGAGGGTTGACATGGAAGGTAAACTCAAAGCTATCAAATGAAAAAAAAAAAATAATCAGGCCTCAATGAATGTTAGTGGGTGCAGTAACATAAATAAAGAAGTGAACCCAGCTGAACATATACAGTATACAAACACAAGCCAACTGGATAACATTTAAAGTTCTATAAACACCCAACCTAAGAGGAGAGAAGTAGAATCACTCACAAGACAAAGATTGAAAATTCAAAAGACGACCCAAAACCACATTCCCTTGATTCAGTTGATTTAATTTGATGGCGTCCAAAAGTGAATAAGTAATTATTTTGAATATGGAAAATTTAGTCTTATATTCTTATCAGATATCACTAATATAACATGACAGTAATTTTGAATTCCACTATGAAGAACTTACCTGTCAATTTCAGGCTGAAAGTATTCCATTTTGTATGAAGTTAACTGTGCAGATGCGTAGTGTATGGAGATTATTTGGATGTCACTGACACTCGTCTTCCTAGTCCTGGGGTGATGAAAATGGAGCAATCGAGAGTAGTATGTTGGCTTGCTTATTAGGACTGAATAAGTTCCATAAAGCTGAAATTCAGATAATTTGGCCTTGCTTTAGCAGAAGGATATTAAAAGAGTTTATAGGTAATATCTGATCAGTTATCAGAAGAAAAAAAATAAAGTACATATTTTTATATATACATTGGATGTATGTACGCAGGAAATGTTCATTCAAATAAGTTTTGTTAAAGATAACATAAGTTTTGTCTATATTTTGTAATAAGTTTTTCTTGTTGGTAGATTTGTTTTCATATCTTGTTGTGATAAGAGTAAAGGAACAGCCCACAGTTCATGTTCATTCTTGTTAAGCTTTCAAGATTTCATCTGGCTTCACTCATTATCAGAAAAAGAAACGGATTAAATTTAAAGTCTATGTTACAGCATACACTTTTTGTGTGGTTTTGACTTTTGGATGTTTGAGTTGCTCCAGGAAAACCTAGTGAGCTACTTAGAAACAGTATTCTCAGCTATGGCACCATGTCCATAAACGGCACATATATTTTTTACTGTTTATACAGTCTCTTTTTCCAGAAATAATATCAAATAATGAAAATTCATCTCATTTTCTCCAATTTTTACTTTTAAGATGAAAAATCTTTCCAGTGGGTCTGACTGCAGTACACAACAGGAGAATTGCATGCATGCATGTATGCATGCATAGATAATACAGAAAATATTACTGGGTATTTCTAGGCAGAGATTTTCATTCAAACAAGATAACAGATAAGTTTTGTCAATTTTAATAAATTTTTCTTGTTGGCAAACTTGCTTTCATATCTTGTGATAAGTATAAAGGAACGGTCTTACAGTTTGTGTTAATTCTTGTTAAGCTTTCAAGATTTCAACTGGCTTCAGCCAGTATCAAGGATGAAAGAAATTCAATGATATCACACACAAACACATAACAACACAAATATTCAATACTCAAAGCACAAAATTCTTTCAAACAGATTTTGAATTGCATTAGATGGAAGCTTAAGATGAATTGTGAACAGTTCCATTACAATGTCAACACAAAGATATGGAAACTAATCTACAAAAAAGAAAAATTTATTAAAAAAATTATAGACATAACTTGTTTACTTTTTCTTTAACAAAACTTGCTGTAATATAAAATGAACATTCTTATTAACTAGAAATATCTTTGTACAGCTTTTATTCTCAAGTTGTCTTAATAATAAAAACTGTTATCTATTTGCAACTTTTATTATTTTATTTTTTATTCTAGGAATTCTGGAAGATTTTGATTTTGTGTCATATAAAATAATTTGGATATTGGAGTTGTTTCAAAGTTTTTTCAATGTATTTCTCTTTATCATGTAAATATTGATGGCTACAAATTCTAATTGATCTTAAGAAGAAACTGATAATTATTCCAGATTTTATTTTGTTGTTATGGTGTGAATAGAAGTTCATGTGATCATTTTTATTGGTAGATTTTCAGTAATTTTTTTTAGTTTTAAATCATAATCAGTACAGTCTGACATTATGTCAAAGAAATGTAATTTGTTTCTGTTACTAATGGAAAGAATAATTTAAGAATTTGAAAAGGCTCCTAAACAAGACAGACATAGAAATGGTGAAAAAAAAAAAAAAGTTACCACCAAGTCATCAGCAAAGCCGACTTTCTTACCAACATGGTTCATCCTTATATTCAAGGAAAATCATAAAGCAAGGAGGAAGTTAATATTACAATGGAATATGCCAGTAAGAAATATCCCATACTTGTTCCTATTATTAAGTTACAAGCAAGGTTTCCTCCATTTCCAGGCATTTAAATTTGCAGACTCCATAAGCAAGACAATCTTTTCTATCGAATGGTGGGATTCACATGCAACTGTGTTGAGCAGTGATATACTTTCTGCAGTTAAGCAACCTCATCTTCTGTCATTGAAAGAATTTTCTCATCCTATGGTGCATTCCAAACTGAGAAACCATCTTGGTACAGATAAAGCAGCAAAACTTCTTTCTATTTAAATCTATGAATGCAAACACTGTTCATATTGAATTTTAAAATTTGTTAATGCTTAAAATTTTATTTTATAATAAAAACAAAATAATTCAGTTGATTAATAAATATTTGTTTATTACTTAATGTTTAACACTGTCCTTCCTTCATGAAATTACATGGAAAAAAAAATATTTCTTAATCTTTAAATAAAGATTTTTTAAATCATCATTATTTAAATCAATCATTTAAATCAGTTTGCTTTATATCAAACAACCCTGGAAGAAACTGATAATTAATTTAGATTTTATTTTGTTGTTATGGTGTGAATAGAAGTTTATTAGATCATTTTTATTGGTGGATTTTTGATAGACATTTAGATCATTATTAGTAAAGTTTAACAGACAGATCAACAGAACACAGGACATACAATCGAATTTACTTATGAAACCGAAAAAAACATACATGCAATAAATGATCTTTCCTTGATCTTATGTTAAGCCATACTGATAATGATTTAAAACTAAATATCTATCAAAACTCCACTATTAAAAAGATGTCAAAACTTCTATTTACACAAGAATAAAATAAAATCCAGAATAATTAAAATTTATAGCCTTCAATATTTACATGATGAGAAATACATTAAAAATATTTTAAACTCCATCAATATTCAAATTGTTTCATATACAATATAAAACAAAGTTGGCAAGTTTTATGATATAAAAATACAAAATTTGCAAAATCTGTTAACTATATTTGTTTCTCATTAAGGTGTTTCAAAATTACCATTTTAAAATTAAAGTCAGACAAGAATCTAAATAATTATTAAAATTTATAAAACTTACCTTGCTAACCAATTAAGTTTTCTGTTAAAACAGAAAATCTCATTCTTTAGCTTTTAACTTTCAAAATTTAAAATAATATAAATTATTTCAATTGTTGCACAAAGCAAATGGTTCATGTAGTATGCTAGAAACAGTTTGATTCATTTTGAAATATTTATTAATAATGTGGTAACTGCATTATAAATTGCAAATAAATTATGTTCAAAATATTCTAAATCAAAAAAACAATATTCAGAAACTTTCAAAAATATTCAAGTTTATCTTTTGGACAGTTTTCTTTTTTTCATTAGTTGTAATATTCAAAGTTGAATAATTCAAATAGCAACTGTATAAAGATTTCAGTCATATTCAGTCAAAGAGTGGATGAATATAAATAAAATAAGCTTTAGAACATAAAAAAAGTCAAATCATGAGCTATTAAAAAAAAAAAAAAAAAATTAACCAACTGTTGTTGGTTAGAGGAAATTCAAAAACCTTCAGATAAATACAATATACAAGGTTGTAGTCAGTTAACTGAAGAATGCTAATTTATCTACACAAATCTATGCCAAGCAAATTCCTTTTCCACTTACCAAAACGGTAGGATATGCAATGGATAGCAGCTCAAAATCATTGTTATTCTCAAAAAAAAAAAAAAAAAAATTGCTGATGTATTATTCCTTATAAAAAAAAAAAAAAAAAAAAAAAAAAAAAAAACAATTATTCTTACAATCCAAAATATGTTTAACCCTAAGCTATAAAGGGTCAATAAGTTGTATAAACAAATCAATCAATCCCAAAATGTTAAACTAAAACTACATACAAGTTTCTAGACATTAATACATCTGTACTTCCTTTTATCCTGTATACTGCACGTGATGACTTACTAAAATATGCAAATTTTTCTGATATCAGGCATATGTACATTTTTACAAACATTTAAAATAAAACCATTTTCTGCAATAAATCAACTTACAGACACTTTTATATACAAAAATTTTGTAAAAATTATCTAACAACAATGTTGCAGTAATCAGATATTCAAATCCATTAGTTGCTAATTCATGCATTATTTGCATCTATAGTCAAAATCTCATAAAAAATTTAATAGAAATAAAAATGTTCTTTTATTAACTTTACAGACAAAACAAATTTTTACACCAAACTTTTCCTTATTCAAAAATTTCAACAAGTTTTAAATAATTTTTCAAAAATTAAAATTCACTAATCCACATGAGAATGTGAACAAACTGGATTTTGTCCATGGCCACATTTTCAGATCACAGGTTTTTGATCATGTATCCATTTAATATACGTGATGCTATTCATGGTGAAATTGTGACAAGTTTTGTCTGTCATTTACTGCACCTGTGATGATATTCAAAGTTGAGTGTATTTGTATATACACCCAACTCACTATGTCCACAGGTTTGTCTTCTCAGCTATGATCGCTTTCAACAAATGATAATAATGACATGTTTTTTAAGACTCTGGTCAGGAGTTCATGACAATACGATTTCTCACTTAGCCAGCTACATTTTCCTTCAGCTGAACTGCTATCTCCTTAACTTCAGCTGGTCCCTTCCTCACTGGCCTCTGGGCTTAGTGACTCCTGATTCCTCCCTACCAGTCCTTCTGTCACTGGCTGTGGGGCAGCTGCTAACTTTTCTGGTCACCTACCTACTTTTCTCACAGCTGGACCCCCTTTCCCTCTGACTTCCTGCTTCTCTCCACTTATATGGATAATCACTGGGATCCCACCCCACTCCATCCACCCCAAATCTTCAAAGGACTACTTTTATGACTATCTAAAATCATTGATAAAATTTTTATTTTTCCAAATTCAAAGGAAAACTAGAGACATGAATCCTGAAAATATTGACACTTAAGAGGGACTGCAAACAAGATTCCTACAAGACTCCATTCTACGTGAACTTAACATATAGGATGTCTTACACATTTCTTATTAGATCTTAAAAGCAGGTCTGGCAGTCTCCAGGGACATCTCCTTTTCGGTAAGAACATTCACAATTGGCCAGTGCCGCTTTCACTGCAGGGCTTTGCTTCAGTAACCAGACATGATACACTTGCTGCAGAGAATG